CTATTCTATTCTATTCTATTCTATTCTATTCTATTCTATTCTATTCTTTTGCAATACTGCATTCAGTTTTGGTAGGCATGATGTATAAAAAATATGTTGAGACTCTAGAAAGAGTGCCGAGAAGAGCAACCAAGATGATTAGGGGACTGGAGGCTAAAACATATGAAGAACAGTTGCAGGAACTGGGTATGTCTAGTCTAATGAAAAGAAAGACTAGGGGAGACATGATAGCAGTGTTCCAATATCTCAGGGGCTGCCACAAAGAAGAGGGAGTCAAGCTATTCTCCAAAGCACTTGAACGTAGGACAAAAAGCAATGGGTGGAAACTAATCAAGGAGAGAAGCAACTTAGAATTAAGGAGAAATTTCCTAACAATCAGTGGAACAACTTGCTTCCAGAAGTTGTGAATATTCCAACACTGGAAGTTTTTAAGAAGAGATTGTCTGAAATGATATGGAATTTCCTGCCTAAGCAGGGGGTTGGACTAGAAGACTTCCAAGATGCCTTCCAACCAGCAGTGAGATCCTACCTGTTCCACTACTGGTTCGGTGATCAAGCGTACGTGCACCTAACATGCACATGCAGCTTTCCCCATACCAGCTGAGGCCTGTAGTGCCAATCAGTTAAGAGAATAAAGATGAGAAAAGCACAAGGGCAGGTGGGAGGGCCGATCCTGTATTTTTCTCTTCTTTTTCCTTTCAGCTGATTGTCAGAGGCTTTTTTTTTTACTACCAGTTCAGGCAAACCGGTAGCATATCACCACTGCTTTCAACTCTGTTGTTCTATAGTCTACATTGGGTAAGTTGAATGAATGGACTGGAAATTTGCTTTCTCTCAGAAGCAGGCAAAGATTAAAGAATCCTCACAGTTAAGATGCTAGGCTTGTCAATCAGAAGGTTGGCAGTTCAAAACCCAAGTACCACATGACAGGGTGAGCTCCCATTTTTCCAGGAGCAGGAGAAGATTAAAAAATCCTTGCAGTTAAAATGCTCGGCTTGTGGACCAGAAGGTTTGCAGTTCAAGACCCAAGTACCATACAACAGGGTGAGCCACTGTTCTGCCCAAACTACTGCCAACCTAGCATTTTTAAGAGATAACAGATAATCAGAGTTGGAAGGTACCTTGTAGGTCATCTAGTCCAACCCCCTGCCCAAGCAGGAGACCCTGCACCATTTCTGACAAATAGCAGTCCAAGCTCTTCTTCAAGGTCTCAAGTGATGGCTCTCCTACAACTTCCGAGGGCAACTTCTGTTCCATTGGTTGATTGTTCTCACTGTCAGAAAGTGTCTCCTTATTTCCACGTTGAATCTCTCCTTCTTCAGTTTCCATCTATTATTCCTTGACTGGCCTACAGGCAGTTTAGAAAATAGCTTGACCCCTTCCTCTCTGTGGCAGCCCCTCAAATATTGGAAGACTGCTATCATGTCTCCTCTGGTCCTTCTCTTCCCTAGACTAGCCAAGCCCAGTTCCTGTAACTGTTCATATGTCTCCAGTCCCCTAATCATCCTGATTGCTCTTCTCTGTACTTTTTCTAGCATCTCATTATCTCAATATTTTCTAGAGTCTCAACATTTTTTTAATAATGTGGTGACCAAAACTGGATGCAGTACTCTAGGTGTGGTCTTACTAGGGCTTTATAGAGTGATATTAGTACCTCACTTGATCTTGATTGTATCCCTCTGTTAATGCAACTTAGGATTGCATTAGCTTTTTTGGGTGCTGCTGCACACTGCTGGCTCATATTTAGCTGGTTGTCCACTAAGACTCCAAGATCCCTCTCACAGTTACTGCTACTGAGCCTGGTTTCACCCAGTCTATATGTGTACATTTGGTTTTTCTTGCCTAAGTGTAGGACTTTACTTTTCTCTACGTTGAATTTCATTTTGTTAGACAAGTCCCAGTGTTCTAGTCTGTCAAGATCCATCTGCATCTTGAGCCTATCTATCGTGTTAGCTATTCCTGCCAGCTTAGTATCATCTGCAAATTTGATATTTCAAAAGCATGCATATGCAAGTAGGTATCATTTCAATGGGAAGGTAACTGCATTCTGTGCACCTCAACATATAGTCATGCTGGCTATGACCACAGAAGTGTCTTCAAACAATGCTGGCTTCCTCAACTAAGTAATGGAGAAGATTAGCACTCCCTAGAGTTGGACATGACTAGACAGGGAAAATCTTTACCTTTATATGGTTGATATCCTACTTTTTCTAATGCAGGAATGTTCACTTCATCAGGAGAACATTCTATCAGGAAAAAAAATCACATATAACTAATCAATATATTAAACTATATAACTTATTGAAAGTTTAGAAATATACAGTGGAAAATAGTTGATTTTTTATTATATATCAACTTTTCTTTTTTATAGTCTATTGTAGTACAAGGAATCCTTATTTTCCACAAAACATCTTCCTTAACATAGGTGGAATCCCTCTTCTTCATTTAGGCCATTATTTTCCAATTATAATTACAAACTATAAAATACAAAATCTGATTTCCCTAGTTATTACCAATCACTTCCTTTTTTCTGCAGATCTCTTACACATTTCTTTCTGATGATATGAATGATAAAACCCGTTTTCCTTTTTTCAACCGGATGCTTCCAAAAGAAAGAATCCAATACATAGGGATCATTAAAGTGATCCAGTATTTCAGATGGACATCAGTGGCTCTTGTGGCTTCCGAAACAGACAACGGAGAAAGTTTCTTGAAAATTTTAACTCCTTTACTCCTTCAGAATAGGATTTGTCCTCTTTTCTCACAAAGTTTATCAGGGTTCAGTATGAACCAGTTTAATTTCCAAATTGGCTTATTCCTGAAATGGAGACAAGTCAATGTGTTTATTTACTATGCGGAATCTACATTGCAAACTCACTATTTCTATGGCATACGTATGATAGATCAACTATTTCAACACTTTTTAAAGTCTTCTTCGGGGAAAATCTGGATAGTAACAGCCATGGGGGATCTCACTTTTAATTTGAGGTATGACATCTTCAACTATGTAGACAGCATTTTCAGCTTCTCCATCCAGACCAAGAACTGGATAAAATATGAGAAAGTTTACTCCCTTTCCTTTTTAACCACTGAGTTTGCCAACAAAGCTTTTTTATGTTCATTTCAAAAGCATCCCTTTGCTGTTAAAGGCTGGATTAGGTGCAAGGAGAAAGAACACTTGGAAATTTTAGCACAGGAGGACATTGAAGAAATCCTTTCTCTCAACAGCCATCACATTTACAACTCCATCTATGCTCTGGCACGAGTGCTAAGTGCTGCCTATGTCTCTAAATCCAAATGGAGAACACCGAAGGAAGGTAGAAAATCCTTGGACCTGGAAAAGCTGCAACCTTGGCAGGTATAAACCCTTAGTAAGATTATACTTAAATACTCCATCCAAATATATTATTAAAAAGATGTCATCACAGAGGGTCTGTGAAAGTGTGAAGAAATGTTATGAGTGAAGTATTGGAGGTCCTTGGCCGCAAAAGGTACTTAAGGGGGGGGGGGTCTGTGGTGAAGAAAAGGTTAAGAACCACTGGTCTATGAAATAACCAAGGACAGAGCTTGACTTGACTTCAAGGCAAGTTTTTATTCTTCTAGTGAGTCAGAAGATCCAAGCTTTAGGATGGCATTTCTAAGATCAAAACCACCATTTTGTCCATAAAAAGCTGCAGCAGAGGTGATATTCAGCAGGTTCTGACTAGTTCTGGAGAACCGGTAGTGGAAATTTTGAGTACCAGAGAACCAGCAAATACTATTTCTGACTGGCCCCACCCCCATCTATTCTCTGCCTCCCGAGTCCCAGCTGATTGGCTGGGTCTTCTTTTGTTTCTCTGCACAGAAGAACAGAGCTGGAAAGCAGGTTAGTGGGGTGTGGAGGGAATGGGGATTTTGCAGTATCCTTCCCCTGCCATGCCCACCAAGCCATGCCCACCAAGCTACACCATGCCCATCAAGCCCACAGAACTGGTAGTAAAAATTTTGAATACCACCATTGGGCTGCAGGGGTTTTACTGATGATGTTCTTACCATTCCAGGTTCACCCCTTTCTCCAAGTGCCCCAGTTTCACAACAATGTCATGGAAGGGGTGTATCTGGACCAGAATGGAGAGCTGGCAGCTGACTTTGACCTTGTGAACTGGCTAAAGTTTCCAAACAGGTCACTAGTCCGAGTGAAATTCGGAAGTTTCTCAAGACAGAGATCTCAGGAGCCCAAGTTTATCATTGACCAGGATGCCATTATTTGGCCAAAATGGTTTAACAAGGTGGGGAAAAGATTTCATTCAGAACACTTCTATTTTGGGTCACCACCCTTCCAAAACCTATAATAGATTATCCATCTTTCAAAGAGTCTTTAAAAGTTTACAGTGTTTCAGAATACAGGTAGTCCTCAGCTTATGACCACATTTGAGCTCAAAATGTCTGTTGCTAAGCAAGACAGTTGTTAATTAAGGTTGGCCCATTTACATTAAGTGCACCACTGCAGTTGTTAAGTTTGCCACACAATTGTTAAGTGAATCTGGCTTCCCCATTGACTTTGCTTGTCAGAAGGGCACAAAAAAATGATCACATGACCTTGAGACACAAAAATGATCATAAATATGGACCAGATGACAAGCATCTGAATTTTGATTATGTGACAATGTGGATGTTGCAATGGTTGTAAGCGTAAAAAATGATCATAAGTCACTTTTTCCGGTGCCACTGTAACTTCTAACGGTCACTAAATGAATGGTTATAAGTCAAGGATTGCCTATATCCTCCAAGAATCTCTCCTGTATTATATGCCATCATGTTCCATCGTTTAAACCCAATTCAGGGACTTTGAGCCATGGTGGTGCAGTGGTTAGAGTGCAGTACTGCAGGCTGGCTGTAATTTGGCAGTTCAAATCTCACCTTCCAAAGACCCAAATTGTTGGGGGCTATATGCTGACTGTAAACCACTGTAAAGCAGTATATAAATATAAGTGCTATTGCTATTTAATTTGGATTCCCAGTTCAAATGCTACCATTTTGTGTTCCATCTTTGCCACACTTTACACACTGAGCAGAGAACTAACAGTCCAAAGCTGAAGAAGCTTCTTCAATGAGAAGTGAAGTGTCTTCAAAGAAAAACCAGTAAGTCCAGTTCAAAGTGGTATTCAGCAGGTTCTGACCAGTTCTGGAGAACTGGTAATGGAACTTTTGAGTAGTTCGTAGAACCAGCAAATACCACCTCTGACTAGAGATTTTACAGTATCCTTCCCTTGCCACACCCACCAAGCCATGCCCACAGAACCAGTAGTAAAAATAAATAAATCCCACCTCTGGTCCAGTTGCCTCTTGAAAAAATAAAAAGCACCTTTGGGAAAATCATGATCTGAATGACTGAGAATCTCTATAGATACCAGTCCAAAGATGACTTCACTATAAAGCTTATAATAACCTGTAGGAAACAAACTCAAACTCTTATGACTTAGTTTCTGGATATTACCAACCAGTTCACCTCTTTATCAAAATATGAAACATTTTTTTACAATGAATAATTCCTAAGATTTTTATCCTAATTAATAGCAATAGCACTTAGATTTCTGATACTGCTTCACAGTGCTTTACAACCCTCTCTGAGCAGTTAACAGAGTCAGCATGTTGCCTCCAACCATCTGGGTCTCCATTTTACCAACCTCAGAAGGATGGAAGGCTGAGTCAACCTTGAGCTGGTGAGAATCGAAGAATCAGCAAAATTAGCCACCACAATTCTTAGATAGATAGAATTCTTTATTGGTCAAGTGTGATTGGACACACAAGCAATTTGTCTTGATGCAAATGCATTCAGTGTACATAAAAGAAAAGATACATTTGTCAAGAGTCAAGAATCATAAGGTACAACACTTAATAGTCATAGGGTACAATAAGCAATTGAATCATACTAGGAAACAGTCAATATAGATCCTAAGGATACAAGCGACAAAGTTACAGTCACAAGTAGGAGGGGATGGGTGATAAGGAGAAATGAGAAGATTAACAGTAATAGTAGTGCAGACTTTGTAAATAGTTGGACAGCATTGAGAGAATTATTTGTTTAGCAGAGTGATGGCAGTCGGGGGAAAACTGTCCTTGTGTCTAGTTGTTCTGGTGTGCAGTGCTCTATAGCAGTGATCCCCAACCTTTTTTACGCCGCGGCCCGGTACCGGCATCAGCTGGGTGCCGCGGCCCGGTACCGGCATCAGCTGGGCGCCGCCATCTTTTTTGATGAAAAAGTGCTTCCGGTGACCTCACCGGAAGCACTTTTTCATCAAAAAA